GGGGCTGGATGCTGCTGAGGCCTCTGAGCGCCCCGGAGGTCTTGTGGGTGACAGAGATTGTGTGGGGGAAGGTCCCCATGGGTGCCTGTGAAGTCTCTTGAGTGCTCCTGAAGTGCTGTGGAAGCCCTGGAGTTTGGGGGTGCCCTGGGTGCCACAGAGATTTGTTCGGGGGCACCCTGTCCTTCTGTCTCTCCCAGACTGGGTGAGTGTGGGCCCATACAGCTGAAGGCACTGGTGTTTGCCCCTGTCCCTCCCGGTCTGTGGGGCTGAGCCAGGCATTTCTCCCACAGCTGCAGGGCTGTACTATCTGGCGGAACTGATTGAGGAGTACACGGTTGTGACCAGGAGAATAATCAAATACATGATCTGGGTAAGTCCCTGTGCTTGTAAAAATAGGCGGCTCCTTGTCGAAATCACCCCTGAGGCAGCAGTGAGGCTGGCAGAGCAGCTGTGGCATGGGATGTCAGCTCTGGATGAAGGCGTCAAGTGCTCAGGAAGCTCCTGCTTCTCCTGGTCCCAAGACAACTCTGTCTCCTGAGGGGGTAGGTTGGCAGGGGCCGCTTCAATCGGCACCTCACTTAACTGGGGAGGTGTTGATTCTGCCTAACTTCTCCTGGGCAATACCTCTCCCCGCTGGCTGAGGAAACTGAAGCTGAGCCACGGCATGTCCTACCAGGAGCCACAGAAGCAAGATGGAATTCCCTCTCCCAAGGGGCTGGTGTCGAATGGGAGGTCGTTTGGGAGATGTGGTGCCATCAGAGTGCACTAAAAATCACCTTGAACATAGCAGAATTCCTGTCTGTGAAGCTGCCTGCAGTCCTGCTGCCTGCACCCCTGTGTTTGCCCCACGCAGCCCCTGTTCTCTCTTCCAGTTCTCCTCAGCTGTGCTGGTTGGCCTCTACCTCTTCGAACACTTCCCTGGTTTCATGGTGGGCGTGGGGCTCTTCACCAACCTGGTCTACTTTGGTTTGCTGCAGACCTTCCCCTTCATTGTCCTGACGTCCTCCAATTTCATTCTGTCCTGCGGTGAGTGGGGCTGTTGCCTTCCCGCGGGAGTAGGCACTGGGGTGGAAGTGTGCTCTAGGGCAGAGGAATCCTCGTGACCCTCATCACTGGGTGGGCTCTGGGTGGCAGCAAAGGTTTAGGTTTTGCTGTTGTAGCCCTTGTGGCTTTCGGAAGGACTTTGAGCTTTGTGCAGTACTTCTTAATTGCACTTTATTATGTGACTGTGATAATTGTGGGCTGGGCCTGGTGATGCAGGAAACACCTTTGGTTGTGTGCCCGTGCACAGAACTGGGGACGCCAAGTTTTCCCAGGCACCATCTACTTCACCCTACATCTGGTTCTGCTCCAAACTCAGGCGACAGCGCTGGGGGAACAAGATTCTGGCTGGCCCAAAGCTCAGCCTTCTCCCTGCAGACCTCCTGCTTTGGGTGTTCGTTGGGTCTTGGTAAAGAGCAGGAGGGATTTGAAGTGAACTAAAAAACCTGGTGTGTCTAATTATAGCCCGTAGTCAGGCTGGGCTGTGAGACACAGTGTGTGTGTGTGTGGCATCATGAGGAGCTGATGCTCAGAGAAAGAAGAGCTTTGAGACAGGTGTCCACGGTTAACGTGGAAATTCATCAGGGTTACCGGAAAAAGTCCTGTTAGAAAAGTGCATTACCAAGCTTAAATCAGGGATTTTTATTGTTCATGTTTTCACCTTTCTTGTGGTATTTGCCAAGCCTGTGTCTGCGGCTGTTGTGGCTCCATCTCCAGCTGGCTGTGGGCTGCCTGCTTCTGCCTGGGCAAGCCCTGGTGCAAGATGGGCATGAGGGTCTTTCTTCTGAGCAGCTGGCATGGGCACAGGGTTGTGGTGTGAGGTCTGGCAGAGGCTTAAATTAGTAGCACCAATATTTTGGCCAAAGCATACAGCTTAGCCGTTTGTCTGCTGTGCTCAGCTGATGAGCGGCCAGAGCCGTGTCATAGGCTGAACCTGGGAGTAGGTCTGCTGCTGGGTCTGGGGTGGTGGGCTAGTAGCTCTGCCAATTGAACTGGTTTTTGGCTGCTCTGAGTAGGTCAAATGGTTTCCTCCCCCCGCAAGTTGCTGAGTCTCCTGCATGTTTTAGTGTCCTGTGCACAGATCTGACTTCAAATCTCTGATATGAGTGATTTGTAGTGACACCTTAAGTAGCGAACGGGCAAAAGTTTTTTCCAGCATGACTTTCTGGAGTCCTTATGCATGTTGCAGGGTGCTGTCTGTGTACGATTAAAATACCCTTGCTCTTCAAAGCATTCACGTCGGCAGGATTTTATCCGCTACTTGAAAATGAATGTAGCTCTCCCGTGGTGTGTAGATCAGGAGCTCTGTTTTCTGGCAGACCCAGACTCTCGTCTGGATCTTCGGTTGTATCCTTAGGCTGGAGCAGATGATAAAGCAGCACGGGACACAGCGTTTCGTGTTGGGTTTGTCTCTTGCTGGGGCTGTATTGACCTGGTGCTCCTGGGTGGGGGTTGCTGTCTTGGTATCTCAGATAAAAGGCGAACAAAGCTCTGATTCCTGCTCCTTGAGAGCTAGGTGGTGTTTTTCACTGCTGAGGACAGTGTGAACCCTACTATCCTGGCTGCATTTCAGCTTGACTTGGTTTACAGATGGCAGGAGAGTTTCTCTCCGCAGCAGCTGTTGGGGACGCAGGGTTTTTTGCTGCTTCTCTCAGCGCTGCACAGCATTAGCAAGTGTCATGCTGGGCTATCCTGGGTGCCCTCGGGGACGAGGGACTTATGCGGGGCTGCACAGAGCAGCAAAACAAAGCTGGGATGGGGGAATTCTGGCTACTCACACCATTTCTCACTAGATGAATGAAAATATTTTGGTCACAGCAGGATTTCGGGTGTACAGGGGCTGCGGGGAAGGGGTTGTGTGGCAGGGAGGAGCTGATCCTTGTGGGAACTGTTATGGTGGAGGTGGATGTCCTCCCTCGGGTGGCCTTGGAATAAGCTGATGGTATTGCTTCCAGGCTGGAGACTGACTTTGCTGTGTTTTTCTTTGGCAGTGCTGGTTATATTCAATCACTACTTAGCGTTCCAGTACTTTGCCGAGGAGTATTACCTGTTCTCTGAGGTGAGAGACCTTTGGGAAGGAGTCGATCCATGTTCTTCCAGCCTGCATGGAGCTGCTGGTGGGAGGAGGGAGAGGAAAATGTCATTTTTTCAGTCAGCAGTAGGACACACTGAGGATATTTTTCACAGCCCTTCCCTGGGGGTTCCTGTGCTTATTCCCTCTCAATTACCAGGGAAGCTGCAGTTTCTTTTCTCAGGTGTGGACTTGACGCTTTCTCAGCCAACTGAAGGGCAGAAGAAATACTGAATGCTAAGTGCAGATATTTTTTTTTTCCTGATGTGCTAAAAACTAGGAAAAAGAGAAAATAATACTATTTTTAATTTTTTTACAAGCTAACCACAAATCACTTCCCTTTCGGCGTAATTGCTCCTCATTATTTTTATGTCTCTGACATGCTGATTCTTCTGTCTCACAGCACTTGCACCTGCCAAGAGGAAGGCCTGATTTCACAAAGGGGCTTGTTTGGCCCCAAAAGTAGCTGCCACCAAGTGCAAATTTTAAAAATAAACAAAAAAACTTCACCAAAATTTAAAAAAGCAACAACCTTTTTAAGAAGTTTAACATTTCTGCAGCATTTGTGTGCGCAAGGAGGCTGGTGTGACAGCTCAGCACGTCTTGGCTTAGCTCTCCCCAGACCACAGCGGCTGCTCCCCCAAGCACCAACTTCTCATGCTACACCAGCGTTCCACCCTGGGATGTGAGGAGCAAGCCCAGGGCTTGACTCTTCCTTTTAGTGCCTGGAAGGTGTGAAGAGGATTTAATTAGTCATAATTGCACAGCCAATCTCCTGTTTGTGTATTTGTGCTGTTTAAAGTTCTGGTTTCTGCGAGCAGTGAAGGTTTCCGGGTGCTTAGGACAGGAGCAAGGGCTTTTCCTGCCCACCCCGTCCTTCCGTGGAAGTTGCTGTGTGAATTTTATCCCCTTATCAGCTTTGGAGGGCAACACTATCTCAGCACCCGAGAGACTCAGGAGAGGTTGAGTTCTGGTTCTCACCCTGCAGTGCCCTTTCTCTCAAGGGGTTCAGGCAGAAACTTGGGGTGTGTGGTATGGAGGTACAGCTGGGGCTGAGACAGCACTTGTGGGTGTCAGTCCAGACGGAAGTCGGTGTGTGAAAGGCCACTGAGTGTGTTGCGGCTCTGCTCTCACTGCCCCTCTTGCTCTGCCTGCAGGTTCTCGCCTACTTCACGTTCTGCCTGTGGTTAATTCCTTTTGCTTTTTTTGTCTCCTTGTCGGCTGGAGAGAATGTCCTGCCTTCCACGGTGCAGCCTGGAGGTGAGTGCTCCTGAGGCCTGGGCAGATGCCTGCTCGTTTTTGACAGAGGCTGTGCCCAACACACCCCAGTCCTGCTGCACTGAGGAGGGAAGAGGGGCAGCTAGTTAGGTAAATTATTCCAAAAACTGAGGCAGGAAAAGTGAGGCTTCTGCAGGGTGGGGGTGAGCAGAGTGGAGGGCTGTTCCAGCTCTACATCCTGCATCTCTCCAGTCCTGGGGCAGTGTCGCTTGGACACTCTCCAGTTCCCTGGACTCTTCCTGCAGCTCAAGAAAGGGAGCTGAGGATTTGGGCTCCCTGGCAGTGGCTTATGGGAATGCCCAGGTAGGCCAGATCTGAGCAAACCAGAAACTTTTGTACTTTAAAGGCAGCTTATGTGTCGCCCTGAAATCAGACAACCTGTCCAAGGGCTCCTGTGGCTGTCACAGATTTGTATTTGATTGTTCTTCCCTTCTCTCTGCAGACGACGTCGTCTCCAACTACTTCACCAAGGGGAAGAGGGGCAAGCGCTCCGGTATCCTCCTTATCTTCTCTGTCATCAAGGAGGCCATTCTGCCCAGCCGACAGAAGATTTACTGATCCCCAGATGCAGCCGGCATCGGCTGCGGTGAAGGAACAGGGCAGACCTAAACTGTGCAGAGGGCTGCGAGGCAGCACTGTCCCCAGGCCTCGCTTGAACTCTCCTCGATGTCTCTTGAAGGGATTTTGCTATCAACGTATAAACTGGACGATGGCCCGAGGTGCCAGCAGCGCTGGACAGATGCGCGGGGAGGGCTCGCGCCTTTTATACAGCTCTGCTGATCCCCTGGGACTGTGTGCAAGAAGGATGTTTGGCTCCAGCCAAGCGCAAGGAGGGTCTGGCCTCCTGGCTCTGCCCGCCCTGCTCGGGGACCTAGGAGGCGTTGTCATCTGCTGGGGTTTAAAGCCAGGAGTTTGTGCGTGGTGTAGTTTGGCTGTGGGGGAACTGTTCCCTCAGTGTGGCGACAGAACGCGCTTGACATTTAACTGAGGTTTACACAGAGCCATTAATTAAAAAAAAGAATAAAGTAACCAAACTGTTGAACTCCCACGTATTCCGGCTGGGAGCCTGCCAGCGTTGGAGGATGCTGGCGTCCCCCTGCGGAGCACAAGTCGGGAGGGGAGCACGAGGGCGGGCGCCTCTCCCTGCGTTCCACAGCTGTGGGAAGGTGACCTGGAAGGACTCGACGTCTCTTTTTGTTTGATTTTAATGTTGGAAATGCCCGCTTTCCTCTTTTCTGGTTTTGCTGGAAGCCTCGCTGAGTGGACAGGATGCTGCGGCAGTGCTGGCCGGGAAGCTGTTTCATGGAGAGCGATTCTCCACCTGCGTGACCATGAGGGGAGCAAGACTCTGAGTGAGTCGCCTCAGCTTCCCTTGGGTTTCATCTGATTGGCGTACCCAGTGCTGCTAAACTCACGAGGTCTCCCTCCTTTCCTAAAAGAAAAAGAAAAAAACGATCGTACTGAGCAGGAGGTGAACACTTTGTTTTTGTTCCTTGTAACCGTAAGGATTTTTTCGCCCCTTTTTGGTTCATTATTGGTCACCTTCAGCCTGTGCCAGAACTAGATGTCCCTATGCTAGCCAGGAGCCAGGGCTGTGCATGGCTGTAGCACAGAAATGCCCAGCTCCGGCAACACAGTTTCATGGTATGGGAAGGCTTTTTGAGGAATTTCTGAGGGAAATGGCTTATTTCTTTCTCTTGTGGCCAGTTCTGGCTGAAGGCAAAGGTGAGGCACGTGGTCCCACTGCACCTCTCCCTGCCCCTGGGTTTCCACTAACACTGGCGTGTTTTGATGCTAATTTAATAGAAGTGTTTCTGTTTGAGAGCTGCTCACCTAATAAAGGCTTTAGGTGAAGTTCACCTTACTAGAGAGGCTGGATGCAGTGTTGTCCCTCGGGCTCACGAGCATTTGGCTCCGGTGTTGAGTTGTTGTGTGAGGAAATTGCCCTCTGCATGCTGATTATGTTTTTAGAGAAATAGCGGAGGATGAGAGAGCTATCAAGGGGACCTGAGGGCTGCAGAAGGCGCATCGCCGAGGCCTTGGCAGATGCTGATCACTGAGAGGGGTTAGCAGGGAGTTGTATGTTTTCAGTACAGAGGTCTTTGTTACCGGGGAGTCAGAGAAATGAAGGTAAAGGCACTGAAAGTGAAGCAGAATGATTAGTAGCAGGTAAAGCATACAAGAAGGTGTAACACACAGGTGGGAGAAAACTATCGTCCGTGGCCAATAGTGTTGGGAAACTCCTGGAGAAGCTGCTCCCCAACTCGGGTGCTGTGCTGTAATTTTGCTTCAAGGCCACAGGGTGGGGGACGCTGGGCCCAGGCTCTGTCCCCTGCCCTGGCTCACCGCCGCCTGGGCAAGCAGTGGGACAAGCCGGATGCTTTTGCCCCGTTCCCTGAGAGACTGGTTTAAGCTTGACCAAATTTAGGCTGAAAAATAGGTTTCTGCCATGGAGGAGGGAGGCGGACACCGGCAATGCTGGGGGAGGCACCAGAGCAGGGGGGGCTGCAGACTGCCAGGAACCTCCTGGATGTGTGTTCACAGCTCTGCTCCAAACTGTCTTTAACAGTTTCCATTGCCTCGGGCACAGACAGATGGGCCAGGGCAGGCGAGATCCTGCTGGCCGAGGGCGGCAGGCGATGTGAAGCCCCCCGGGCTGGGGCTGAGTGATGTGCGGGGCACGGCAGAGGGTCAGATTGGGTTTAAATTTAATTTTGTCTCTCTGAATGTGATGCAGGAGGGATGGGATGAGAACTGTCACTGCAGTGACAGGGAGGGCAGGGCACGATGCAGGGGTCTGGACCCTTCTTTTCTGCAGGGTACTGCAGTAAAAGCAGAGCCCCAAGACTCATCTGCCACTGAACGAGTGCAGAGGATGTAAATGGGGAAGATCAGTAGCTTTAATGTCCCTTCCACCACATCATTTTAATCCTCACTTTCCCATTCACTTAGCCAGAAAGCGAGGGTAGATTACTTTGTATTTTTCCAGATGACAAGTCCATTTTTCCTGACTACTGCTTGTGATCATTGGGCGTTTAAGATGCTAATGACACACATTTCTTTGAGCTGAACCAGATTCAGATAAGTCATGTAACTAGATGATAGCAAGTGAAACCCTATAAATATTTAAAAGGCGAGCATCTGAAAAAGCCCCCCCCGAAGACTCCAGCTGTGTGGGGAGAAGGTAACACCATGGGGGCTGCGAGGATCACACTGAGCTCCCCGGTTGCTCTCTCATCCGCTGTACACAGAGAGGTTTGAGGCTGGCTCCTGAAAATACACCCTCTTGCTGGAGCCCCGCTTTGGTCTAAACACCCCATTCCCTGCCCTGAAACACGGGGACCCCAAGAAATCTGGTGAATAAGACATAAAATCTCTCGTTATTCACAGGGACGAGGCAAGCATGCTTTGCACTCCACCTGCAGAGGGTTTGCAAGAAGCTTCAGCTTAAAAAGAAGTGTGACTTACCACTTTGATTAAGTGTTTAAAAGTCATGTATATTAATATGTAGCTGCCCTCCGAAGTGTCTCTGCTTGGCAGCTCTCTGCTGACTGTGGTGTCTCCAGCGACTTGGGGATGGTGCAGCCGCCGGGCCATGACTTGCCTGTCCTACGGGAGCGGAGCCGGCATTGATTTTCATGGGTGTTTGGAGGGTGCAATCAGGGGAGAGGAATTCACTCGATACGGAGCGGGCAGCGCGCAGGCAATGCGGCGGTGGGAAAGGGCAGGCTGCCGATGAGTAACCATGCTCGGGCCGTGGCATTTTCTCCCCCTGATGGTGCTGAGCGGGTGCGTGGGAGAGGCCAAATTCGGCAGGGATCGAAAAGCGAGAGCCAGGTGGTGCTGGGTTCCTTGTGATGGGAATCACCCGAAAAACTGGATTTGGAGAAATTCAGCTTTGGCCAGGGAAGGAGGAGCAAGGGGGGCAAGCCTGGCTCCAGCCTCCCTGGGCTTTCTGAACTGGTTGAGCTGGTCCCAGGGCTGTGGTCCCTGCGGCTCTTGCCTTCTTTTTCAGTAAGAGGATCTGTTCAACAAGCTGACATTCATCCTTTAGTCTGGGTGAGCTTGTACGTCTTGCAAGCAGCCTTTCCTTGTCTGCTTTCCACATGGCAGCCCTCAGGTGCCTGGAGAATCGAAAGGCCAGGACAAGAAACGCTTGGTAATTAGAAAGATAAGCTCCTCGCCTTAAATATTTTAGTTCCCGTTGTCTACGCCTTCAAGAAGGAGAAAGAAAATGTATTAAAAAAAGCAGAGAGGTAGAGTGCTGTAAGACAGCAACCTGTTCTGGCTGTCCCCAGGGGACAGGGGGGACCACAGGCGCTGCAGGTCTCCCAGGAAGGGACCTGTCCCCTCCTTGAGTACACCGAAAACCTCTCGCCCTTTCTCCGCTGCCACTGCGCCCAGCAGAGCGGCTTTCCTGGCACGTCCTTATTCCTTTGCGCCGTTCAGTCTGATCCCAGACAGCTCTTTAATTATTGCAAAAAGGCATCATGAGATCGTTGGCTGGAAGCGGAAGGTACATAAATCCAGACTACAACTAAGGCGTGCATTTTTAACGGGGAGAATAATTAACTCCAGGGAAGGAGGTGCAGCCTGGCAGGGGGATGTTCTGGAGCAGCCACAGTCCTGGCTGCCCCTGGCTTCTCTGATACACAACCGAATAAACTATTTAGAAAAGAAAGAAAGGGTCCTGCCTGTCCCCCAGGGTTGAGCAGCCCTGGCTTTAACCCCCTATAGGGGATGCCAGACCTATGTGCCTGCTTCTATAGGGACCTGAGCCCACGCAAGTGACCGGCAGCACAAACCTGCCCTGACACCCTCCATGTCCCTGCAGCTTCGTCTGAAGGAAGGGGTGGCCCCTCTGCCTGGAGAAGGGATGTTTGAGGACCCACTAACCTCCCCTGGCTTCACCCACGCCCCGGGGGAAAGCTGATGGCAGAGACGCTGCCGGGAGCTCCATTTTCTCCCAGGTTTTAGCACAGACCCAGCCCGTCCTCCCTGCCACGAGTTCAGGACCTGAACAGTACTGTTTTTCCTCGATAAAACCAGCCCCGAGAGGATGAAGGGAATTGCCCCGGCTAATTAAGCATCTGGTGCAAGGGATGAGGATGCTGCCACTTGCTTTCCCCTGCCCAGTGTCTCCTGCCCACAACAAGGCGGCAGAGATGGAGAAACCACAATTAAGTTAAGGCTTTTGTTGTTCTTCAGATTTAAAAGGAAGAGATGTGGCTCGAAGTCTCCTTGGAACGGAGGGATGGACATGGCAGGGTTTGGGAGCCACTGCCACTGAAACCGTCCGCATCCCGGCAGTGCTGCCCCCCCCATCTCCCAGTATGTTCCAGCATTGCCACGGGTCCTTCTGGGTATTGTTGAAGTTGCGGTGGGCGAGTTCAAAGCTCGGCTGTACAAAGCTGTTCACTTTGCTGCCGTGCGTGAAGGACCGCTTGAAGGCACCCGAAACACCCCTGCAACAGGCTGCGGCCGGGAGTGGGGAGGGGATGGGGGGACACCGGCAGGGCTCACCCGTGGGTGCTGTGGGACCACAGGCGATTGGGAGTGTGGCTCCATGGAGCAGATCCATGCTCTTCACCTCTGATTACCTATATACAGATATGTCTTTCCCTGGATTGGGAACAACCCAACAGCTGCTCCAGAGCAATGAATCCCTGGGTTCAGCTCAATAGCCTTAGAGGCAGCAGCTCGAGGGGAAAATGCATCTCCTGTGGACCCCAATGCATAAAAACAGGCACAGGCTGAAGAGCATCATCCCTTCGAGTAAATAAGGGTCTGCCAGCTCTCTGGAGACCCCAGCCTCGGAGCTGTGCGCCTGGAGGGACCATTCACCCCTGAGCTGGGAGAAGCCTGGGCGTGCTGGGTTGCACCCCCCGACATCGGGGTACCAGAGACATGGATTTGACTGGACCATGCTCACCCGGGAACGGCCAGCCTGAACCTGAACCCCTCAGCAAGGCGGGCGCAGAGTGTGGCCCCACCAGAGCCCCATGAGCTCTCCTTGTGGTTGGTCCTCTCCTGCAGAGATAGGTCTCCCCCAGCAGGGGCTGCCTGCGGGACTGGGGGAGAGCTGGGGGGGGCTGCAGCAGCTCAGCCAACCTCCAGAGGAAAACCCAAGACCTTCAGGAGTCTGGGGGGTTTCCTTCACCAGAAGCAGGAGGTTTGGGTCGCACTCCCTGGGGTCCCACACAGGAGACAAAAGCTGCAGAGGAGGGTCACCACGGATGTCTCCATCTGCAGACCTATGGTCCCAGCCTCCCCTCAGCCACTGGTTGGGGCTCAGAGCTTTCCAGTGGGCTCCACTGGCACCGAGAGGGATCTCGCACTCCCCGTCCAGCATTGCTGGCCCAGAGCACCTGCCTGTGCCATGGCTGGCCACCCCCAGCAGAGCAGGGTTGGGAGGGTGGTGTGGGGACATGGGACACTGCGGCTTATTCTACCCAGACACACATCAAAGTCCTTTTCTTTCAGGGTCTGGGCACCACTTACCTCCTTAAAGGTGGAGACCTCAGACTGCAGAGGTGAGGGAGGGTGACACAAACATCCTCCTTGCAGCAAGTAAGTGCCATGTTATATGTGTCCCTGCCCAGCGTCTCCTGACACCATAAGGTGGCAGGAGAAGGGGTCCCCTGCTCTGGTCCCACGAGTTCTCTTGCCAGGACCAGTTTGCAGCAGCTCCGCTGCCATCCAAGCTGGCCCACAGCCCCGTCCCGCTGCCACCCCCTCTCCTGGCAGACGTGCCTTTCCAGTGGCGTGTGGAGAACCAGTGCCACCTCACTTTTAATTAAAGTACAAGAGGATGCAAGCTGCTGGGAAAGGAGGGTGAAAGCTCACAGCAGCCGTCCCCGCCACCGTGCCCCCTCCTCGCCCTGCTGTGGCCGTGCGGCTCCGGTGGCGCTGGGCGAAGGCTGGCTGCCTCTACCCCAGCTCTCCCCTGCCTCCAGCCAGGCGAGTGAGGGGCCGCGTCCTGGGGAGGCCACCCGCTGCCCGGGGTCTGAACGGGACCCCGTTCTCACTCCCCAGTGAGTGCCCGGATGGAGCCGTCCTGATGTCCTTGTCCCCTGGGGAGAGACAGACAGAGAGGAGACATGGAGCAGGGTGAGAGCAAGAGCAGACTCCGCTGGGACCTGTGCCATTGCCCAGCAGCTTGTCGCCTGGAATGGTGACAGGACAGGACCGCGGAGCATCAGCCGGGCTTGCGGCGGGGCAGCAAGGGGACACGTGTGGGTGTCACCTCTACGCTGGTCCCTGGAGATGTTCTCGCTCCATGGGGATCATCCAGCCTGAGACCCCCATCCCCTCCCCGCCAAGCCCTACTCCGTACGAGGATCCGTCTTCCCCCCAG